AGAACATCGTTAAAATAGCAGCAAGCAGGAACAAAACAAAACTGAACAGCAATTAAAATGCAATTCTGAAACCTGATTAATTTGATCAAAAAACAGTTACAATCCCAATGTTCTTTTTAAAAAGGAAAGCATTATAAATCTTCTGAAAGGCCATTCAGGAAGGGAAAGAACATGGAAGGGAACTCCAAAGTCTAAGTGCAGCCATTGAAGCAACCTCCCACTTCAACCCACCCAAAAAAACATATTCCTGGCATTGTTGCAATCTTTCCAGGCATGAGCTCAGAAGTAGTAAGTGCATATGTAGAAAGACTTCTTTTTCCCACATCCTGATTTTAAACCAGGAATTGAAATGTTTAGTGGCCAAGGGTCACACTTAAGAGGCAGTGGTGAGAGCAGTGGTTGAATGGGCAATGATGCATAATAGGTGAAGCCATTTCTGCTGTATGAGTGGAGCTAAGATCTGAGTGGATTTCTTCTAGCTATTGCTGTGGGGAGTTACTAGAGATGAGAAAATGTCATTCCCCATATGGGGCTTTGTTAGTTAAAACTAGCACCTTGAATTGTACTCAGAAACCTATTGGAAAGTAGAGGCACTAATAATATTAATGCAATTAATGAACAGGGAGAGCACCTATAGCAAGTCTTCACTTTCTCCATCCATCCATCCATCCATCCATCCATCCATCCATCCATCCATCCATCCATCCATCCATTCAGTTTTTCTACTGGCAATATATAGTGGCGGGAATTATTTGACACAAGTAATCAATCGGGCCTCCCTGGAGTGAAATGAGCTGACAAGTTGTTCATGAGGTTTCACATGTTTCTGTTTTGCGCTGTAATGGAAACCGTCTGTGTTGCTTGGCCTGGCTTTTCTGCAAACACAAATGCTGGTATAATTAAGAGTGCAGGGAGGGAAGGCATTAACTGGTACATAGGAAGAAATAAGGAAGTTTGATCCTGGGACTGCAGCAGAGGTGGTATTCAGCAGGTTCTGACCAGTTCTGGAGAACCGGTAGTGGAAATTTTGAGTAGTTCAGAGAACCAGCAAATACCACCTCTGATTGGAGATTTTACAATATCCTTCCCCTGCCATGCCCACCAAGCTACGCCCACAGAACCGGTAGTAAAAAAAATTTGAATCCCACCACTGGACTGGAGTACTATTGAAAATTTCCAAAACTGAAGTATTAGCTCCCATAGCTCCCATATTGATTACAGGAGTCTCCAACCTTGGCAACTTTAAGACTGGTGGATTTTGTGGCTTTGCTAGCTGAGGAATTCTGGAAGTTGAAGTCCACAAGTCTTAAAGATGCCAAGGTTGGAGACCCCTGAATTAGGACTAGAAGAGATTGAAACCTTTTCAATGTGAAATTGTCTCAACAATATAAGTCACTCCTTGTAATGCTGCCCTGTCCCAATGCTGAGGCCTTTAACTCTTCCCAGGGATTTCACTTCTGCCACTGATTTTCTGAACTGGGCTATGACATAATTACAGTGAAGTCTTTTTGGGTGGGCCTCAGTTCTCTTTGATCCTTTTTGAATGGTAAGTTCCAGCGGTACTGATTAACAAGCAGGAGGTTAGAAGGGAGGAACAACAGTAAATTCTGGAACATGGAGGGAGCATCAGAGAGGAAAACGAGCATTTGTTGGTTTTGATTATTCTCTTGGGAGGACTGATGGTTTTATTATGAAGATCAATAAATTACAGAAAATGTCCTTGAAGCAATTCAGTAACTTGGCCAATTCTTGCTTTCTGCTGGGTTATAGATGGGCAGAGTGATATTTGCGCCCCTCTCCACTGAAAAGAATTTGAGACAAATTCTTAGCTCCATAGAAAGATAGGGTACACTCGACACTATATGAGTTTGACCCTATAGCTAAACCATGTCTTCCACTACTACTACTGCTACTACTATTTCCCAGTTGAAGGACAAATACTTGGGGTTGTAGCCAGCTAAAGGACTGTAAATTTTTAATAGCAATGGTCTTAATATCTCAATGCGAAATACATGTGCATCAATTATAGATGTAGGGTGAATGAAGAGTGAAGGTGCTTATATTGTTCTTGTGTAATGGCAACACAATCTACTGCATATTTTGATCTTAGAATTCTAGTTTTTGATTATCTAACTTTATAAATTGCCCAGAGACTGGCAAAAATAAAAAAAAAATCCTATCCCTGTAAAATTAAATAATTATCCACACTCTAATGGTAGTTTCTGAGTGCATCTTGCCAAACTGAGAATTGTTGCATTAATATATGTGTTTGTATAACCGACACGGCAGATTGCTTTTGTGTCATGCCTTTGCCAAGGGTTCATTAAAAGCACAAAATTCAAGATTAATGCAGCCTGCTTTGCATCAAGTGTAAATATTGCAAGTTATAAGCTTCAGTTCCTTTTATTGCCTCTTTTTTCTACATGCAGCTAATTATACTCAATGTTTATAAGTTTCTGAATATTCAGGGAGATCGTTCTGTCTCTTTCTCTCTCTTCCCCACCCTCTTCTTGTTGGAGACATGGAGAAAGAAGAGCTGGACTTTACTACAAAGAGAAAATTGGACTGAAATGAAGTTCCTCAATATTTAATCTAGCAAGGTGGAAACATTGCTGTGACACAGATATAGATTACTACAACAAATGGAGTTAAGTCATGGAGGAGAACTGAGGCAAAGCTTGGGTCTTCAGGTCACACTTTGACCAACCTCTACCATGCTGCTTTATCTTCTATCCAATTTAAGAACATCTGATGTCAGGAGCTGGCCTCTGGTGATGAAAATGAAGAGATTGGAACCCATACTCCTTAGAGCCCTGTTTTTTGTATTTTGCATTTGAAAACATTCTAAATGTATATAAAACGTATGCGTTAGGCCAAATAATTCAGCAGCAACACCCTAACTTTGCCATCTCTGGGAATATTTTTTAGCACAGGTAGACATTAGAACGTAGTGGAATAATCCAGATGGCCATTTTGCCATGCTTTCCTCTTACCCTGAAGCCAGAATGAATCACATTAACATCATTACGTAATACCATGTCCTTAATGGAGTTCTGATTTTTTTTCTAAAGTGCTGTTGACTTATCAATCTAACAACCACTTAGCTGTCAGAAAGCTTTCTCTCTTGCCCGATGTCATGCAACCTCTTCCCTCTGCAGTACTGGATGGTAAATACTAAAAAGTACCATTGTCTGAAAGTACCATTGTGATTTTGGAGAGGTAAAAACTACAAAACATATTATTCTTTGTTGGTCTTTTTATAGAGACAACTGAACTAGATTCATACTACCTCTGATTAATAGACATCCTGGTCACTCAGATTCAGTCTATGCCCAGATACTGTTCATATCTTTTGTTATAGCATATGTAGCTAGGCTTTCTGTAGCATCACAGAAGATCCCTCCGAACCTGATGGGCCAATTTTCCAATGCATTCTATGCAGCTATAATTCATTTAAATTTTAGATCACTTTGTTATGTAACTTTCGATGTTATCACATTTAATATAATTTTAGTGGTTGCATTATAATTTGATATAGGCTGTATCACGGACCTCACTCATATGTATTAGGTTGTTTTACAAATGTATTTTAATTCTGTCTTAAACTTTATTTCTATGTGGATGATCTCAGTGTAGGGCAGCAAGGAAGTGGGAACAACACATTCTAACAGACTTCTAACAAAGTAAATAGGTAATGTTTAAAACTTTACACAAGTGATATTCAGGGATTAGATTTTCCTGGGAATTTTTTTTCTCCTTGGCCATGGACTCTTCCATTTCACAGTTGAATGGTCTGTCTGTCTATTTGGCCACAACATCATGGAGTAAAATCACTTACGTCTGTCTCACAAGTTTAAGGTTACATTTTGGCTTGCCGTTTTGAGCTTGGATGTGAATGGCAGTTGGTTTGGCAAAAAAGATGGAGAGTCAGCTGTTTCCTGCTTCAGGGGGCTCAAATAATATCGACAGCCTGTACTTTGAAATGTGTGCTAGTCAGAACCCAGAGGCAGAGAGATAATCTCCAAGGAGAAATATTAGCCAGATGAAGGAAATGCCAAAATATTTGGGTGCCCAGAAATGTCAACATATGACAAATTCACCACGTCTTTATTTTTTTTCAACTTAAGATTCAAAGACCAAGTTATATCCACAAAGTATACTTTTCCCACAAAATTGATGTTTTTCAAGAGAAAAGAAACACATAATATAACATCTTCCATGTCTCTTCAGCAGAAAAACACAGTTACATACATCTGCATTCAGGCATAAAACCAACTAGCTAATCCTTCTCAGCAAAATTATGCCCATTGTTCAGCAACTACAAATATATCCATTGCCAGCAGTGGATTTCACATTTGGAGAGTCCCAACAAGTTAAAATTGGTATTTTAAATGCTAAATTCATTGTCTCTATGCATTAAAAAAATGAGAAAAAGAAAAGATGGTTGATTTCCCTGGGTTAAATTCATTGGTACCATTGATTAAGAATCCTGAATTGCAACCTGTTTGTTGGAGATAAATGTTATGAAAATAAAAGGAATGCGGTAAGCACTGTTCTTCTGCTAATGTTGCAAAAATAAAGCCATATCCCGAGTGAATTGCTTTTTCTTCACCTTAGAGAAGGGTACTGCCAGACGAAAAGGACAGATGGTTTCACTTTTTTTCTGCAGTTTTTTCACACAAGACAGCAGCTCCATAAAATGGTCTACATGGCCTCAGAAAACCCAACGTAATGGGGTTGCATGGACAGAATGTAAGACTGTCCTGTTGAAATGATAACATTGCACGTAAGTCTCTTATTATTGCAGGCCCTGAAGTAACTTGTACAAAAATTGTAGGCTTAGAAAAGTCAGTCCGCTCATTTGTCATTGAACCACCATAATTAAAAATTAAAATTCCTCCCCATCCCCTCAAATCCTAACTCCAAAATGGACTGAAATCCCTCTGAATTCAACAGAATGCTTCTTCCAGAACAGGGCCTTGAGTCTTCTGCCTTTTTTCATAGAACCCAAATGGTGTTCGTGTCATCGTCAAAGCTTTAAGGATGGAAGTAAATTTTCTAAAACTTTCTCAGCTTCTTGATCCTAAAAAGGAAAAAAAAAAAAGAATTAAGCTTAAGTAATTATGCCTTAAGAACCACCCAAGCCAGCACCAATTTCTGCATCAAAACAAGAGATTATGTTCAGTGTTAATAGTGCAGAAAGGATTACTGGTTCATTCTTCTTTCAAATGCAGTACAAAAACAAAGTAGGAGAAAGGGGAGAAGACACTACTTTTATACTATACTTTTCCTTTTCCCTTTCCAATTTCCTTCTAAAGAAGTGTAATGAAGTGTTATCTACAACTCTAATGGCTTATAATTAAAGGTTTTCATCTTCCAACAGTCACCTTTGGAGGTATTTCAGTGAACCCAACATTCCTAAGGCTTGAAGTTTCTAATTTGCATTTTCTCCCTCTCCTTTGTTGCTGTTAAACACAGATACTCAAGAGGGACCTCCGCTTTGTTGGTTTTACAGCTGCTCTGTACCTCTGAGCGTTTTGTTGTTCTTGAACTTCAAGTTCAGCTCCCACAAATCTGGGTGGCCTTTGGAAATGAAATTGTATTAAGTGATTCATCTCTAAGCAAAACTTATTTGCACGAAGTCATTTTCTATCTGGTTTAGATTCCATAACTATCACCACAAATTTGCTCATAGTGTAGCTGAAAACAAAGACATTCGTATAAGATATTTATCTATACAGCTAGTCCTCATTTAATGGCAGCATCGTTTAGTGACCCTTCACAGTTACAATGATAAGGCCAAACTAGTCATTTTGTGATCAATATTTGAATTTACAACCTTTGCAGGTCTGTATCTCAAATGATCTGAGTAACACTTAAGGGAGTGGTGGCTCAGTAACTAAGACGCTGAGCTTGTCGATCAGAAAGGTTGACAGTTCGAATTCCTAGCACCGCGTAACTGAGTGAGATCCTGTTACTTGTCGCAGCTTCTGTCAACCTAGCAGTTCGAAAGCATGTAAAAATGCACGTAGAAAAATAGGGACCACTTTGGTGGGAAGGTAATAGCGTTTTGTGCGCTTAGTCATGCCAGCCACATGACCACGGAGATGTCTTCGGACAGCGCTGACTCTTTCGCTTTGTAACAGAGATGAGCTCCGCCCCCTAGAGCCGGAAACGACTAGCACATATGTTCAAGGGGAACCTTTACGTTTAACTCAAAGGAAAGCTGAAGATTTTATCTTCCTAGGCTCAAAAATACATAGAGTTGGTGAGGATAGCCATGCAAAAAAGAGGCATCTGCTTTCCAGGGGAAAGTCAATGACAGATTTTGACAAAATATAGAGCTCACCTTATGTAGCCAGTCCTCAACTTACGACCAAAATAGAGCCCAAAATTTCTGTTGCCAAGTGAAACATTTGTTAAAATGACTTTTGCCCCATTTTGTGGCTATCGTTGTTAAGTGAATCACTGGAGTTGTTAAGTTAGTCACACAGTTGTAAAGTGGAATCTGGCTTCCCCGTTGACTTTGCTTGTCATAAAAGGTGATCACATGACCCCAGGACACTTCAACCGTCCTAAATATGAGCCAGTTGCCAAGCTTCTGAGTTTTGATCACATGACCATGGGGATGCTGAAATGGTCATAAGTGTGAAAAATGATCTGAGTCAGCTTTTTCAGTGCCGTTGTAACTTTGAGCAGTCGCTAAATGAACTGTTGTAAGTTGAGGACTACTTGCAAATGTTATGACAATAAAAATATGAATTATCAAGGCTATGGTTTTCCCAGCGGAAACATACAACGATGAAAGTTAGACCATCAGAACTAAGACAAATTGGTACCCTTGAATGCTGGAGAATATTGTGAAAACACCTCGGCCTGCAAGCAGAACAAATCATCAATATAAAAACTAACTGAAGAAAATTCTCCTCATTGGAAACATTAGTAATAAAGGTAAAGCTTAAGTATTTCAGATGCATAATCTGAAGGCAAAATTATTTGAGAAGATTTTTATATATTTGGAAAAATGAAAGGCAAATGAAAAAGATGACAAAAGGCAGGAACTATAATGTGTGGTAGACTTGTGGGAAAGCTAAGAAATTTTTTAAAATGATATTTGCAAAAAAATCCAGAACTCTTTTTAATGGGATTTATGGGCAATGAATTAGAAAAATATCCATGGTGGGCTTATTTTGTATATGGTCACTACAGCAAGATTATTTGATGTATAATAATGCAAGAAGAACAAAATCTTCACAGTTGAAAAATGGGTTGTGAAAATGTCAGAATTCACAGAAATGGCAACATTGACCTGTCTGGTCAGGGGGAAAAATGCATATTTTTTTTTGTCTGGAAAAAGTCTGGAAACATTTGTTACTGAAAGAAGAAAGAAAGGACACAATGACTTATGAGATTGAAGGTTAAGAAAGATATAAATTAAGTAAGAGGCTAAGGGATTTATATAATATCTAAGAGGGAGGAAGGACTATAAAATTGTAACTATTTGTTGAAAAGCCAAAAGTTGTATTTCTTAGCTTTAGGGTTTTGGTCCCTTCTATTTCGTTTCTTTCCTTTTTTTCCCTTTTGATCTGTCTTTTACTTTACAATTTTTTTAAAAAATATATAAATAAAAGGAAAAGAGCTGACAAAAAACAAGGGAGTCAGATACTATCACTTGTGACACAAGCATGAACTTACAATAACTTTTTTTTTTAAACCAGAAACTAATCCTGACAAAATAAGGGTCAGAAGTGACTGAACTGAATGAACAACAAATTTAACGAATTTAACGAACAACAAAAGCCCCACGTATAAACATAAGCATTTATGTACAAGCAATCCAAAAAGAGATCACTCTGGCGGAAAAACAAATCTGGTCACGTTGCCAATTTCAAAAACCGATACAAAAATTTATGCCACCAGATAAAGACTGAATGCACCAATTATCACATTAAACAAGAGGAAAACCTTCTAAGCACCAATTCCACCCGAGCTTTTTACAATTTTGTAAACAACTATCCATCCCTCCCTTGATAGGACCTGATGGTAAAGACTGCAACGACGACACCATTAAAGCCAACATCTTTAACACATTCTTCGGCTCAGTATTTGTAAACAGCAATGGATCATGCCCAGTATTTCCTAGCCGTACCACAGATAACAACAATGATCTAATACATATCGATTTCACAGAAGACAATGTCGAAAAATCACTACGCAATCTAAAACCATCTCTATCTATTGGACCGGATGGAATATGTGCCTACTTCTTAAGAAAGCTATCCACTGCCATAGCCAAACCTCTAAGCATAATCTTTGAAAAATCTTTCAGGACCAGCTCCTTGCCTAACCTATGGTCACAAGCCACAGTCATCCCCATCTTCAAAAAGGGAGACCCAAGCCTAGTTGAAAATTACAGGCCAATCTCCTTATGCTGCGTCACCTGTAAAGTCATGGAATCAATTATTAACCAATCCATCATCCTCCACTTAGAGTCAAACAACCTACTCTCCAATAAACAATTTGGTTTCAGAAAAAAACTATCCTATAATCTGCAACTCTTACACTGTAAAAACATATGGACGACACAACTCGACCAGGGCAAAGCAATTGACGCAATCTACATAGACTTCTGTAAAGCCTTTGATTCAGTGGTACACGACAAACTACTCCTAAAAATAAAATCCTATGGTATCTCTGGACAACTGAATAACTGGATAGAAGCATTCCTGTCAAACAGGCAACAAATGGTCAAAATCGGGAGCGTTCTATCAAATCCAGTACCTGTCAATAGTGGTGTCCCCCAGGGCAGTGTTCTAGGACCAACTCTCTTCATACTGTACATAAACGACCTCTGTGATCATATTAAGAGCAATTGCGTTCTCTTCGCTGATGATGTAAAGCTGTTCAATACCACAGACAATACTGCTACCTTACAAAAAGATCTTGACTATGTATCTGAATGGTCAAACAAATGGCAACTTCAAATCTCAACAAATAAATGCTCTGTCTTACATATTGGCAAAAAAAACCAGAAAATAAAATACAAGCTGAATAGTCAAGATCTTGTTGATGACCCAAGCTCTGTAAAGGACCTTGGAATACTCACCTCTAATGATCTAAGTGCTAGAGCCCACTGCAACTACATAGCCAAAAAGGCATTAAGAGTTGTTAACCTAATCCTACGAAGTTTTTTCTCTGGTAATATCACACTACTAACCAGAGCATACAAAACATTTGCTAGACCAATACTCGAATACAGTTCATCAGTCTGGAACCCTCATTACGTATCTAATATTAGCACAATTGAGAAAGTCCAGAAATATTTCACAAGAAGAGTTCTCCACTCTTCTACTCGTTGTAGAATGCCACCAGACTTGAAATTCTAAAACTAGAAAACCTTGAATTACGCCGTCTTCGGTCTGACTTAAGCATGGTATATAAAATCATACATTGCAATGTCCTACCTGTCAATGAATACTTCAGCTTCAACCATAACAACACAAGAGCACACAATAGATACAAACTCAAAGTAAACCGCACCAAACTTGATTGCAGGAAATACGACTTCAGCAATAGAGTGGTCAATGTCTGGAATACTCTACCCGACTCTATAGTCTCTTCCCCAAACCCCAAAAACTTTAACCTTAGACTGTCTACTATTGACCTCACCCCTTTCCTAAGAGGTCTGTAGGGGGCGTGCATAAGCGCACCATCGTGCCTACCGTCCCTGTCCTATTGTTTCTCTTATTCTTTTATTTTTCTTATATGTACCCATTTCATGTATTCACAACTATGTATACACTTATACTTATTATCTTGTAAACAATTGGCAAATCAAATAAATAAATAAAATAAATAAATAAGAAGGTCTCTCTTTGCTGCAAATGTCAGAAATGTCGATATTGGGATTTATCTGTCCTTTGGAAAGGATCAGAGAACTTGGCACTGTACTCACTAGAATTAAGTAGAAGAATAATGTGTTGTCACTGCTCAGAAAAAGGTAGTTTTCTTCAAGTTGAGTTTAACTCCTAATGACTTCACAGAGGAAGCCAAGTAGTTTTCTTGGCAACAAGATGGACATCGGTTGTCACTGCTGACTTCTGAAATACATTTCCTCAGTCTAATTTATTATGCTGGGATCCTGAGGCCCAAGTGTTGCCATTTCCCAAGGATAGTTGAACACTAAGCATTATTTATATTGGAAGGCAATATTAAAAGCTTCATGTCTTCAAATGTAAGCTGGATGGATAGTTGCAAGTAGACAATAAAACTAGCTAAGCAATAATGTATCAGTGCTGGAAAGGAATTTATAGTATTCATTCATTCCCAATCTCTGTCTTCACTACACAAAACTTATACTGTATATATTGCCTAGTTAAAAAGTGCTAGATAACTAAATCACAATGAGATATAATTTCTATGATTCCTTATCCCCCTATTTTTAAAGTCATTTAAAAGCATGATGAATCAGTGGGCTTAATAAGGTTAAGTAGCCATTTTCTCCTGAAGAGTAATTTCTAAATCAGACAGTAATAATTACAAAATTAGACCACAGCAGTCAAAGTCACCAATCTGCACGGCAAATTGTCCAGTTCATAATCAAATTAGACATTAGCCCTGTGATCGTATCATCTAGTTAAGTATATTTCATAATATCGGATTTTACACATTTTCAACATTGCAATCACGGACGTCAGAAGTTCTTTCATGTTCTTATGCCTTATTTTGCAAGACTTTGAACACATAACTTCTTTTCGTTTCTAGATCTTCCTCTATAATTGTTAAAGAACTCAGTCTGCCAAGAATTTCTTCTCTGCATCTTGACTGAAATTAATCAGAGCTGCTGAATCCAGACAACATCTTCTGACATCAACAGATAGTGTAGAAAGTAAAAATATACAACCCTCAGACCTACCTCTTTGGTGACTGGCAGAATGGACGATGCTGTTTCACAGCAACTCAGAGCATTGCTCCTCTGGCCCAGATCTTTGTAGCACTTAGACAGAAAGAAGCGCAAGGGAAAAAATTACAACAGGTGTTTAGTGACCAGAAATTTGTTTTGCATTCAAAATCAAACATGAGAAAAGAAAAGAAAGTTGAGAAAGACCGCAATGCCCCATACCTTTGCCAAATACACATAGTTGCATTTAGAATATCTGGGATGTATTTCTTCAGCCTGAGTATAAAGACAAAAAGATAGAAAGATGAGAATGCCATAGCAATACCAGGCATATTTCCATTTAACAATTGCTTTGATGCCCCAAACCTTCAAAATATTTTGTACTGCTCATATGTCTTCACAATGCCAATATCCATTTCTGGATTTGAACAGCTCTCTCTTGAGTTGCTAATGGTTGAAGATACACATTGACAGGAAGCTAGTACTGTGCTCTCATTCTGTCTCTGTTTTTGCAGGGAACAATATGAAAAGGTATTGATAAAAGCCATTGCTTGGTCCAAGGGGGATGTTCTGGCATTATGTAGCTGCAGGGAAGGAAGAGAGCCAAGTGGTGGTATTCGACCGGTTCTACCTGGTTCTGGAGAGCCGGTAGTGGCAATGAGCAGCGGAGACGGAACCAGTTCTCTCCGCTGCTCTGTGTTTGACCTACCTGCCTGCCTGGGCTCCCATACTCACTTTTATGGCCAGAATTCAAAGCACAGCTGCTTTGCACGTCACAGAATAGTGCCGAGCGGCAGCTGCTGCAGCGACCGGCATCGTGCAGGCTTGCAGGAGGTGAGTTAGAATGCCTCTGCACCTGTGCAAATGCCTCTGCATCTGTGCAAAGTGCTCATTTTGTGTGCGTGCATGCAAAGTGTGCGCACGCCCGCAAAGCACGCCCACCGAACCAGTGGCAACTTTATTTGAATACCACCACTGCGAGGACTGTAGAAAAGGAATTCCCATCGGTGAGAATTAACTTGCTCCCAAGCTTTGGAGGAGTTGCTATGTTGAAAATCAACAGAATTTGGGTGATTCATGATGCCCCACAGAAGTCAATAAGCTCAGCTACTCAGCAGGGCAAAGGATCATAGAGGTATGGCACCAATCCAGAATTGATGCCAAAGCTTCAGGTGCCAATGGTCTAGCACAGTGGTGGCTAACCTTTTTGGGTTCCTGTGCCAAAAATTGTGTGCGCTTGCACCTGCGCACTCATGTGCCAGCACTCAGAAGGCAATGCATGCACGCCCCCTGGGCATATGTGCACAATCCCCCCAGCTCCCCCCAGCCCCCTTACCTGCACTGCGCCTTACAGCTGCTTTTTGGCCTCCCAGAGGCTTGAAAAAAAGCCTCTGCAGGCTTTGCAGGCCAAATAATAGGCCCGTTTCGTCACTTCCGGTATTACAGGAAGTGATGAAACGGGCCTATTCTTCCTGCAGAGGCTTTTTTCAAGCCTCTGGGAGTCCGAAAAAGGCCTCAAACCAGCCGAAAATCAACTGTGAGGCACGCGTATGCACAGTGAGTAAGTTTGCCTGCGGCTTGGGTACCTGCACAAATGGCTCTGCGTGCCACCTGTGTCAGCATATCTATGATACAATTCTTGCAAAGCAAATAAATCTTCCCAAAACTTAGCTAGTAAGAGTAAGGTTGCAGATACCCATAGTTTGTGTGGTTCATACAAGATTGAAGCCAGCAACACACAAAAGATGCACCTGGGGCAAGCAAAAACTAGACATTTCAGTAATGTAAGCACCATATAGCCTCCACAAGTTTGAGACTTCTGCTGCTATTAGCCACAGGTCACCTCTATTGTTTTACTGAACTATTACGACCAATTCAGTGAGCAGAAACAGGCTTAATATTTGCTTGGTTTCTACCAACTGTTGAAATAGTACACAAAGGATCACCTTGTAGACTGGTAGGAGGAAGGATCCCAGAGACCAGACAGAAATCGTTTAGCAAGGGCTATTCTACTCCCATGATCTTCATACCCTTTCTTATCAAAGTCATTCAATAGAGGCTGCTGGACTATATGTACAGTATATCACTTTCAGGAAGGGATCCGAGGACGGGAAACTGTCTGAAATCTAGACGATCCATTATTTCTACTTTTTAACTAGCACTAAGGATTAAAGTGAAGACACCCAATGAAGTAACAAAGAGAAAAGTGGGGAGGGAAGCAGAGGAGAAGAAGAGAAGGGGATGAAAGCTCTAATCTCTTTAAGGCATTTGTGCTAAGCAGCAATTATTAAATTGCTCAGAGAAACTTCCTGTGTTTAACTTGTCAGAGATGACAACAGGAGCTATTCCCACAGGAAATGCTCATAAACAACTCTACGGATGAAGTTTAAAGGCTGAATATTTAATTGCAAAAAAAAAAGAGCAACACAGCAGATCCTGAAATTCAGCTTAGGTGAACAGGAGCGGTCACTCTTCTAAAGACATCATCTGAAAAAAAAAATCTTTTGATGAGCTCCTGAGAAACAATTTGTTGAACAAATTTCTTGAATGCCAGCCTGTTGGCAGCCAGAGAGAAGAGGGAATATTTTATCTACCTTCAGGAAATTCTGCAAAGCCTCGTGTATTGTCGAAGTTGGCGGAGTCCCGAAAAGAGCAGCGGCTACTTTTTTCTCAATCCAAGACAACTGAGCGACCTTTGGAAACCCCAACAGGAAGAAGGGAAAGGTGAAAAAAAAAATCATTTAGTGTTTTTTTTTTTGCGTATTAAGTGTCATGATAAAATATCTCCATTAGGGGTCCCCAACCTCCAGACCACAGACTGGTGCTGATCCGTGGCCTGTTAGGAACCGGGGCGCACCACTGGAGGTGAACAGTGGGCAAGGGAGCTAAGCTTCATCTGTATTTGCAGCTTCTGCTGGCACTAGCATCACCATCTCAGCTCCACCTCAGATCACCAGGCATTAGATTCTCACGGGTGCGCAAACCCTACCGTAAACGGTGCGTGCAAAGGATCTAGGTGGCATGCTCCTCCTTCCCCCAGTCTGTGGAATAATCGTCTTCCACATTTTGGTTCCAAAAATGGTGGGGACCGCTGATCCCTTTTTAAAATAAATTTTGCAGGACCTTACATTTCCCCCTTATTTTTATAAGTGTTTTAAGCCTATTTGGGGGACAGGTCCTATACCAGTGGTGGCTAACCTTTTTCGGCTCCCATGCCAGCACCTAGAAGGCAATGTGCGCTGCCCCCCCCATGCCCCCTGCACATGCACATGACCCCCCCCGCGCCCTCTGCATCTCTGCACATGCACGCGCATCTCCTGCGCCCCTGCCAGATACCAACACTCAGCTGTTGGGCATGCAGGACATGCATGCACAGTGGGGGGTCTTCCAGGCAACTTCCAGCACACGTGCCATAGGTTTGTCATCACGGTCCTATACTGTTCATTATTTTTTTCTACTTCCAACTGACAGAAAAGCATTCTGCCCATTTTTTAAATTATCGCACTGCTGTATTTTCTTTATGGTCAAAATGGGCCACAGGGGCTGCACTAAAAAGATTTTATGGTTGCATGTAGCCTAGGAGAGTTTAAACCCTTGGACTACCAACTTATTTATATATTACTATGTTTTGCCTTTGGGATTTTGGACTAAGGTAAGGAAGGACCCAAAAACTTCTCGGAACAAGGCTGGTTGCATCCTCATCTACTAAGAAGAATAGGCTGTATCATGAATACACATTTTATGTAGTTATTGGAATGATTTGCAAAAGGATGGAAACTATGTAAAACACAGAGAGCCCTTTCTCACAACCCCTTTGTAAGAAAAGTGTGATCACACTCACTACTGAAAGGGTTCATTTTTTAACATACTTTTACTCTTTCTACATATAGTCCTTGCCTTATGACCACAACTGGAGCTGGAACTTTCATCCCTAGGCGATGCAGTCATTAACTGAATCGTGCCCAATTTTACCATCTTTTTTGCCATTGGTTGTTAAACGAATCACAAAGTTGTTAAGCGAATCCAGCTTTCCCAATTGACCTTGCCTATTGGAAGTCCCCTGGGAAGGTTACAAATCACGTGAGCCCAGAACGCTGCAAGCATTGTAAATAGATGCTGGTTGCCAAAAGTCCTTATCGTGGTCACGAGAAGATTGCAATGGTCATAAGTGCAAGCACTAGTGGTTTTCAGTGTTGTTTTAACTTTGAAAGGTTCTTAAAGGAATGGTTGTAAGTAGAGGACTACCTATGTACTCTTCTAAGTCCTTTTGGGGCTTATTCTTATATCCAGCCAACCATGGCACAAATATGCCTTGTTAGCAGATTTCTGAAAATAGATCCTCTTGATATTGCTTTCAATTCAGGCCCAGCTTATTATAGGCAGCTTAAAGTATGTTCCAATATTGAAATATTGGTTTTTCTGTTCTTCCAACACACATATTGCTGTATAATGTGTGATGGCTGGTTGATTATGTTGGTCAGAGGTGGGCAACTATGGCCCCTTTATGACTTGTGGACTTCAACTCCCAAAATTCCTGAGCTAGCATGGCTTGCTCAGGAATTCTGGGAGTTGAAGTCCATAATTCATAAAAGGGCCATAGTTGCCCACCCCTGATGTTGGTGATGATATACTTAGAGGTTGGCATAAGCCTTAGTAAAACCACACCTAGAATACTGCATCCAGTTTTGGTCACACTATAAAAAGATGTTGAGACTCTAGAAAAAGTGGAGAGAAGAGAAGAGCAACCAGGATGATTAGGAGACTGGAGGCTAAAACATATGAAGAACGGTTACAGGAACTGGGCATGGCTAGTCTAGTGAAGAGAAGGACCAGGGGAGACATGATAGCAGTCTTCCAATATTTAGGGGCTGCCACAGAGAGGAAAGGGTCAAGCTATTTTCCAAAGCACCTGAAGGCCAGATGAGGAATAATGGATGGAAACTGATCAAGGAGAGATTCAACCTAGAAACAAGGAGAAATTTTCTGACAGTAAGAACAATCAAGCAATGGAACAACTTGCCTTCACAAGTTGTGGGTTCCAAGTTTCATCACTGGAAGCTTTCAAGTTTCATTACTGGAAGCTTTCAAAAAGAGACCGGACTGTCATCTGTCAGAAATGGTGTAGGGTCTCCTGCTTGGGAGGGTTGGACTAGATGACCTACAAGGTCCCTTCCAACTCTGTTGATCTGTTAAATACTTGCCTCTTTCTTTAGGCTGTAGTGGGAATGTTCCTGCCCCCAAGTTGCTGGGCACACCTAGCTTCCGCCAATGCACTTGGCCTGCAGAGGCATTATGCAATAGGCATAGTCCTTCTAAACACAGGCTTAGCACTGAAGAGCGCTAGATCTGTTTTTAAACATATTTAGCCATCTTTTGAAAAAGAAGTCTTTTATAAACCAATAAGTGTGGTCTTAAAAAAAAAGACTAGTGTCCTGGTTGATTTAAATGGGCAAAGAGAGTTCTTACAAATGAAGGCAAACTTGTTCATTCGTTCAGAGAGAGTTCTGCCAGCTGTTTACTACTGTTTGTTACAAATGAGTGAATTTCTGCTGTTTTGAATGACTAGGCATTTTTACATGATTGCCCTTTTTAATGGTTGTGGTGTGTGTGTGTGTGTGTGTTGTTCTGCCTATTCCGGTGCAATTTTCTGTACTTTATGGGCTACTCTTCAGTGGTGGGATTCAAAATTTTGTACTACTGGTTCTGTGGGCGTGGCTTGGTGGGCATGGCAGGGGAAGGATACTGTAAAATCTCCATTCCTTCCTCACCCCACTAACCTGCTTTCCAGCTCTGTTCTCCCATGCAGGGCAACAAAAGAAGGCCCAACCGATCAGCTGGGACTCGGGAGCCGGTCAGAGGTGGTATTTGCCAGTTCTCTGAACTACTCAAAATTTCCGCTACCGGTTCTCCAGAACTTGTTCAGAACCTGCTGAATACCATTTCTGCTACTCTTGCTGACGTTATCCTGATTTGGGATATAGGAGAGCTACAGTGAAATTGTCAAGGATTTTGCCTGTTTCATCTTTCAGCCTCAAAGAGGAGGCCAGTGGCACAGGCTAAATCTGACCTGACCATTTCCTGCCAACACTGACATTTCCTTGCACCACTTTATTTCCTTTTACTCCATCCCTCATAAAGCCTTAACAAAGGAATAGAATGAGAAGGGCCACTCTTGATTCTCTTTGCAATTTCCTTGTAATGCCATTTCTTTGACCTGTCAGGGTATTTCTGAATGCCATGTCCACCACTCTTTTGGAAGAACACTACCTAAAATAGTCTGGGCAACAGACTACACATAGAAGGGCATAGAAAGAAACAGATATGACTTCTTCACACTTCACCCATCATGCTTGTGACCTATCGGCTTCTCTTGTCTTCATTTTGGACACGGCTAGAGGGCTCTTCCAGAAGAATAGTAAACATAAGCAGCCTGGTTATTTCTATACTATGAGGAACCTCAATGAAAGCAATCTGTAATTGAAGCAACTTGAAAGTGGGTAAAAAATCTCATTCCAGGCACCAGTCATGGTACTCCAGGCAGGCTTCACCTCACATTAAAAACACACTGGGTCGGAGGGTAAACGCAACTCAGAGATCCGCCAATTGCTACATGTAAGCTGCCCTACATTAAAACTGTTAGGGCAGCATCAGACTCTGACCTTGCCACGGAAGAGGAATGGGGCTTCAGGCATCATGGCCATGCAATTGATGTTGGTATACTTGCTGCCAATTGAAGGATAGGATAATAGCATGTCAATGTAGCTGTGAGGAAGAACTCTTGGAAGAACTCAAAGCTCAGAGAACTTTGAACACCATCATTAAGGTCATTCCATCCAGCTGAAGCATATACGGATTGTTGGAAAGTAAAACAAAGAGAAATACTGTTTCTATAATATACTAGAAACCATTCAAATTTTTATGTACGTATTGGCATGCATGAATGCACACACACTCAGAATACCACAAATTGATGGCTCCCAAACAAGTTTCATCTGTGATACTGAAGCACACAGGCTTCTCGATTTTCCATGTGGAATCTGAAATCAGCTTCTAAGACTTGTAGCTGAATTGCAAAATAAAGGAACTGTCTGGGGCAATATACATTTTCTTGCAAAACTTAATAAGAACTGATATAGAGGATTTCAGTTTCACATTTTGGTTTGGATGCGAGTTTGGTCTATATTGCTTAGTAATCCTTCTTTCCCCAGAAGTCCTGTTTTCCTTGACTCTAGTGTATTCTAAAAATGAAATTAAAAGAAATATTATTATAACTGTAATTTTAAAAGGTCATATTATAAGAGTTGGAAGGGGCCATGTAGAGTTGTAGACCATTAAGTTCAACCTCCGATGAAGGACTCAAAATTGAAATATTTCAGACAGATGGCTCTCCGGCCTTGATGTCAAATACTGTATATCCGACCAAGTGGACTCATCACTCGTGTAGGTAATTGGCTTTGCTGCTAACTGATGTTATTGTTGAGATTTTTCTTCCTAAAGCTCAGCTGAAATCTACCTTCTTGTAATTGAAACCCTTTCTTCTATGACTCGCACTACAGAACATGAGATGACATCCTTGTATACGAAGTACTATCAAGTTCCCCTCTCAACCTACTCAAGGCTAAACATGCCACCTTAGAAATCATAGAATCATAGGGCTCAAAAGGATCTTGGAGGTCTTCTAGACTTACCTCCTGTTTATGTCATCCTGGACAAATGGTTGTCCTTTTTTTTCTTGAAAACTTGCAGTGATGGTGCACCCATATCTTCAGGAAAACAAGCTGTTCCACTGCTTAATTGTTCTCATTGTCAAGAAATTCCTCCTTAGTTTCAGGTTGAATCTCTTTCTGATAAGCTTCCACTCACCACTTGTTCTCCTGCTCACAAGTACTTTGAAGACTAGCTTGACCTCTCTTTTTCTGTGACAGCCCCTCAAGTATCAGAAGACAGCTATCATGTCACCCTAATCCTTCTCTTCAATAGGCTAGGAGCTAGACATACCTAGTTCCCTTAACGATTCTTCATATGGTTTAATTTCCAGATCCCTTATCATCCCTTTGTTGCTCTTCTCTGCACTATTTCTAGAGTCTTAGCATCATTTTTGTTCATAGTGACCAGAATTGGATACAGTATCCCAATAAATGTGAGTAATTGAAAATACATATATAAACTATAGAGTATTTTCTGTTTATGAAAAAGAGTAAGTTGCCATTATTAATAGTTTTATTATATGAATGGTGATGTCCAAATTATCAGCTTGGATTCTATTCTAGGAGGCTAACAACCATTAAACAGAAGGAGGGAAAAACGTAAAAGCAGGTATATGTAGTAGCTAAAGTTAGACACTGATCCTCTACCTTAGGGCTACAGTTTCTCCATCAGATCTTAGAACAGAATAGGGATAGAATAGAATAACAGAGTTGGAAGGGACCTTTGGAGGTCTTCTAGTCCAACCTCCTGCTTAGGCAGGAAACCCTATACCGTTTCAGACAAATGGCTGTCTAATCTCTTCTGAAAAGCTTCCAGTGTTGGAGCATTCACAACCTCTGGAGGCAAGTTGTTCCACTGATTAATTGTTCTAACTGTCAGGAAATTTCTCTTTAATTCTAGGTTGCTTCTCTCCTTGATTGGTTTCCACCCACTGCTTCTTGTCCTGCCTTCAGGTGCTTTGGAAAACAGTTCGACCCCTGAGATTTTGGAACACTGGTGTCATGTCCCCCCAAGTCCTTCTTTTCATCAGACTAGACATACCCAGTTCCAGCGACTGTTCTTTATATGTATTATAGGAAGAGGCTGTTGTGAAGTTACCCTGGACATAAACCCTTTAGGGCTTTAAAGTGCATCTCTCATACCAGCCTAAGGTATAGTTTTAATCAAGTCCCAAATTGTATAAAATTACTCAGCTGCCCTCCCCCCTTTTTTTTCCCCTTTCAAAAAAAAAATCTTCATGAACTTCTGATGAGTAAATACTTAAAAGGATCACAGGATACTTACTTCATAACACCACCTTCCAGTTAGATAATATAAAAGGGGATCTTGTGGTTTAAGGGCAATTGCTTGGTCAAGATGTTCCTGTAAGAAAGAAGATCATAAGAAAGATCTGTCCTTCCTGTTTTCAGCTGTTTTGCCACACAATACATTTAGGCATCTTGTTTGCTTACGTATTCCATAAATATTAAGAGTTCATCAAGGTTGTGCATTAAAAATGCCTAATAACCACCAAAGAATACGTGTAGACAGAAATGATAAAAGTGGAGTGCATTTCAGGAATCCTCTCTCAATCAGCTGAACTCAGGATTAAGACGGGGCTGATTTTAAGAGAACAGCGTTTTAAATCTGTTGTGAGCAGAGACACCCTCAGAAGTTGGAATTCACGGAATCAGGAGCAAATGAATGTTTCTAAAGCAAACATATCGAACCACATACTCTGGGCCTCCAGGTTAGCAGGGCCTCATGCTGCTCCTTTCGCATTTAGAGTAGGAGGAGGATGAAAATATTGTGGCTAATCCAAAAGGCCCACTTTTAAATTCTTTTCAGCTTGAAAACTAGGTTAAGTTATGTGGATGATTACACACACACACACACACACAAAAGCGTTCATCAACGTAACTCTGACAGTAAACTGTACCTTCCAGGCAGAGTTAATTTTACTTTAAACATAATTTTCAGTACCGTCAGGGTGAACTTAGTTAATAACAGTAGCAAGCAGTTTAAGAAAGCTATCCAAAACATACCTTAAAAAGATAGCCATTCCTGATTTTGTTTTGTATAGTTTCAAACTGAGACATGTAGCCACACATCATTGCAAACCTGAAAAGGAAGTGACCAAAAAAAAAGAGGGGAAGAGTGGGGAAATGATTATACTTTTATGATAATTACAATACAGTTATCTTTGCTTAGCCACTCCCTCATTTAGTGGCCATTCGCGATTATGATGGAGATGAAAAAATAATGACTAATCCTCGCATTTAAGACATTCACTTTACAGGTCTGTAAAGCAAAGGAAAGCTGAAGTAAAATTGTAAGCATAGTCATGGTTTCACTTGGTAACTATTTCACTTAATGACCAAGTTGCCAGTCTCAATTGTGGTCACTAAACAAAGACTACCTATAACATCAGCCTGTTACTTTCAGTAGATAAGTACTGTATTTATAAGGAAGGGAGCCATCTTAGAAGAGGCATTCTTTCTCTTATCATGTATTACCCAATCTCTTCTAAGATGGCTCCTGATTTGTACAAACATCAACAAAAAGACTATATAAGTGTTTTATTTATTTGTTGTTCTGGAAAAATAATTACTATAAATGATCCTAAACCATTTTGCATTAAAGAAAGTTCCATTAGAGCTACTGGAATTAAGCCTTGGGCGCTATGGTGCTTGCTTTAACTTTTTAAAACTGCAAAGGGTGAAGCAACAAGAATTTATTTAACTAGACAACAGCCCCATTTTTACTGTGCACCTTTAGTTGCCAACTCAGCTTCAATATGCATCTGCTAGCTCAAAATCCGTTTTGTATTAACGAATTTCCCAAGTGTAGTTTTCAGTGATTCAAACTTTATGTTTTCAATCCTGATTCAGATCATCCATAAAGAGTAGGATGGTTTTAAATGAGTTCCAATTTCAGCTGTTAAGTATTCACACTCTTGTGCCTTGCTCTCCAAGCAGCAATTACACACTGCAATTGACTGGCAGCAATGGAATGGAAATATATTTTTCCAAACTTGTGGGTACAATTACTGTCTTCTCTGAACTAATACCCATCAAATGTATAAAGCCACATGCTGAATCTGTATTGCTATCCAGGTGAAGGATGCCAGCTGGGGAAAGAAATGGAACAATGCATTATTTTATCGTCCTGTCGCCTTATCCCAATCTATTTTCTTTACAAGACAAATTCAGGATTTTCAGGATATTCTTCTATCCAAACAGATGAGATCCTCTCACTGTAGCACAGCTTAAAAAGAAGCCAGACTTGATATTCCTAGCAAAGACAGTTAAAGAATTTCAAGTATTCAGGAGAAACAAGGTTACTAAAACTTGATTTCTCATATGTTGCAGAATGGCAACACCACTTTCTCTCCAGTTCCGTTTGGCTCATTAGGTGCTAATCAGATAAACTCAGCATACCATAGCTAAACGGATTACAGCTAGAAAAGAAAACAATGAAATACAAATAAGCTAATCCCGAAGTTTCACAGAATCTCCAAGTCTGTGCGTGACAAGAGAAGAAAAGTGCTGGGTGAAACCAGTTAAGGGCTATATTTCTGAATGTGAGGGCTTTTCTGGATGAATAAGAAAGCTGCTTATTTTCTCTTAGTGGAAAAGTCACACGAACAATAATCCGTGGTCTATATTTACTGACTTCTACGAGAGAAAAGGTGTAGTGTCAGATAGGATTGCAATTTTATGTTCATAAGGTTCACTGTTACACCATAACTGTTTTGGGATATGCTGCATCATTATTTTGAAAACCATGATCAGAATCAGTGTAAATGTGACTTCTGCTGAAGGTTTTTCGGCTATCTGAAATGAGCAGTTTGAGTGACTTCCTCAGAGTTCTGGCAAGCAGGTCTTTTTTAATATAGAAATGTGTCAGTGATTTGATGATGGTCTTAGAAAGTAATTTAAAGACAGAGCCTGATGAAGCATGTCCCAAGGAAGTCTGAAACAGAACTTCAACTCCACAAACCATAAACTGGCAAGTTTAACAGATATTTTTAAAGTTTAAGTTCTTCTTATCTTCTTCTTCTTATCTTAAAGAATTCACCACCTCTACTCTAAAAAGCCGAATTTCTAAATTTTTACAGAACAGCAATCCCTTTCCAGTAGATTGAAAACAATCTGGAATCTCTCCTGCCCAGAATATGTACGTGAAACTAGCTGGCATTAATCCCTTGCTTAAAAATATGAGAAATCGAGAACAGACTTTATAAAACAAAACAACACAAAACGATAGTACATTTTTGCCTCATATTCAGCTTCCAAAAGATGAGAGACAAGCTCTTTTTTTTTTTTTCAACAAAAGCAGGAAAAGTGAACGCTATGGCTCGTAAGGACAATCTAATTGCAACTTTTATTTCTTTGTGAATGCCATCCATTGCCATGTCTGTCTCTCAGCAATGATAGGGATTTGACAATAGCTATCATATACATTCTTGTCCCTTATTCAGGTATCAAAACTATATACACTACTAGAAATTGATGTTGCAGGACAATTTTCATTTTGAAGAAAAGTATTTTAAAAGGATGTAGAAAGGTCTTTGGGATGAATCAAGCTTTAGACAAGATCCCCATTATGATTTAGAGTATTTTCAAATAAACCAACCAATATTCAGTTGACATAGCAGTAATCCAGGCTGGTTTTAGAGACACTCCACAAAGGCTGGGTGATGCTAATGACTTTCCTTCACTGCTACATTGGAGGTCTCCTTCAATCTTTTCAGAATGGCATACAGGTAGTCCTCGACTTACAACAGTTCACTTAGTGTCCATTCGAAGTGACAGCGGCACTAAAGAAAGTGACACGACCATTTTTCACACTTATGACCATTGCAGCATCCCCATGGTCAGGTGATTTACATTCAGTTGCTTAATGACTGACTCCTATTTATGACGGTTGCAGGGTCCCGGTGGTCACATGATTCTCTTTTGTGACCTTCTGACAAGCAAAGTCAACGGGGAAGCAAGATTCACTTCACAACCGTGTTACTAATTTAACAGCTGCAATGATTCACTTAACAAATGCAGCAAGAAAAGTCGTAAAATGGGGCAAAACTCACTTAACAACTTTCTCACCTAACAACATAAATTTGGGGCCACTAAGCATTTCGTCTCAGATTTTCCCACAGCCCATGACAACTTCAGGATATGACACCATGTTTGGCAATATTTTGCCAAAACTGAATCTGCTTCACCAGATTCCGCCACCCAGGGAGAATCTGCTGAGGTCATCACTTCTTAAAAGAGGTTTCTGACTATGTCATCTTTTAGGAAGTAAGTTTAAAATGGTATTATCCTGGTAAGCTTTTGGTTCTTAGTTTTGTATGGACAACCATCATAGCTGACTTTCATTACTGTGTTTCTTTATTTACTATATTCCCAGAACCTACGTGGATTGGGGCAGCATATAAATATTATTACATAAATGAAACTATTTAGCAAAGCATCTTCATACTGTGATAAACAAGAATGAAATAATAAATTACAAATGGGAATCATGTCTTAGTATCCTCAGAGTAGGTCCATTGAATATAGGATCTAGGAATCCTAGTGGACAACCACTTAAAAATGAGTCAGCACGGTGCTGCAGTCACCAAAAATGCAACACAACAGTAGGCTGCATTAATAGAGAGCTAGAACCAAGATCACAAAAAGTGTTTAATATAAACCATAACCATTTTATAACACCTTGGTAAGACCACACTTGGAATACTGCACCTAGTTTTGGTCACCATGATATAAAAAAGATGTTGAGACTCTAAAAAGAGCACAGAGAAGAACAACAAAAATTTTTAGGGCAATGGTCAGATTCATATTTTTTTACTACTGGTTCTGTGGGCATGGCATGGCTTGGTGGGCGTGGCTTGGTGGGCGTGGCAGGGGAAGGATACTGCAAAATGTCCATTCCTACTCCAATCCAGGGGAAGGATACTGTAAAATCCCCATTTCCTCCCCACACCTGGGGGAAAGTTACTGTAAAATCCCCTTTCCCTCCCCACCCAACTAACCTGCTTTCCAGCTCCATTCTCCTGTGCAGGGCAACAAAAGAAGACCCAGCCAATCAGCTGGGACTTGGAAGGCAGAGAATAGATGGGGGCAGGGCCAGTCAGAGGTGGCATTTGCCGGTTCTCCAAACTATTCAAAATTTCCGCTACCGGTTCTCCAGAACTGGTCAGAACCTGCTGAATACCACCTCTGAATTAGGGGACTGGAGGCTAAAAAAAATATGGAGAACAGTTACAGGAATTGGGTCTGTCTAGTCTAGTGAAAAAAAGGACTTGCGGTGACATGTGTTTCAATATTTGAGGGGCTACTACAAGGAAGAGGCAGTCAACCTGTTGAATGCACCTGAATGGAAGACAAGAAGCAATGGATGGAAACTAATCAAGGAGAGAACGTAGAACTAAGGAGAAATTTCTTGACAGTAAAATCAATTAATCAGTGGAAGCTCCTTAAATTCTTAAGTGAAAATAAACACTTATCCAAAAGTTTACATAAAGCAGACTTTCAACCACTTTGTCTAAACAGAAATCCAGACACTTAGAGCAATATGCCTATAAAATCTGAGTAAGACCTTGGACAGCCAATTGTCTAGAATGTGCAGGGGCTCTTGAGCAGAGAGTTGGACTATTTGACCTCCAAGGTCCCTCCCAACCCTATTATTACTATTCCTGTTGCAATATTAGCTTTTATTGAGAGCAAACCCAATGCAGCTCACAAAATATGGATAAGACTTCCTTGGGGAGCTCCATTGATCTTTGGGTTCTTCCATTTTACATAGTGGAGGTTCTTTATGTTTTTAAACATTTCAACTGCACTTAGAGAAAGGAAAATATTTTTGTCCTAGGAAGAAGATAGGAGAGATAGAATAGGATAGGAAAAAAAATATGTTAATGGGAACAGGAAAAGAAACAGATGTCCAAAGTTGCAACATTATGGGAAGAAGAAGTGATAAAAGTATCTGCCACCATTTTTTTCATTTGAATAGCTGAATGAATCCTACTTTACTTCATTACCATACATTGGCTAAAAAAGGGAGAAAATACATTTATAAGAGGCAGAAACATGAGCAAAATTATTTCAGTTCTTCAGAACTGAAGAAGCTTCTTGGATGAGAAGCAAAACATTTTCAAGGGAAAAAAAACAAGAAAGGACAGATACCTTTGAGAAAAGCATTTTGGGACAATTAGGACCTGGGTGATTGAGAACCTCCACAAATATCTCAAAATGGATCTTTTTAAAGAGACGAATCAAGCTTCACTTTGTTTAATGCCCTTTGCATTAAACGCTGAGACTAAATTCATTTCCCCAGGCAGTATTTGAAGAGTTCCAGGCAAGAAAAGCTGAGATGGTTTTTACTAAATGTAATATTGAGGATGTCACAGTTATTTTTTCTATAATATTGTAAATGTAAAACAAGAGAGAGAGAAATCCAACACAAATGATAAAAGTGGTTCAGAATATGAGTAAAATATGAATTAAAGCCTTAAAACAGCAAAGCTGTTTGTCTCTTTGAAATCTCAGAAGAGAAGCCTTCTTTAAGAAAATCTACAGCCTTGGTGAATTATAAAATAATTCAGTAACTTCGAAAGATTCTGAATGAAGAGTGAGAATTTATCACAGTTAGGAAATTAGAAAAATAGGGAATCCAATGGCTCCATCTAATGGCCAAGGTTTAAAAAAGCAATAATTATAGAGATGTTCAGAAAACAATAGTATCTGAACTATCTCATATTAATGTGGATGTTCAAACTGATTAGGATTTCAATGGAAATTCACTTGGGAAAAGCAGGGCTGATGGCTAGACTGGAAATATCCTAGAAGAGTGTTTCTCAACTGTGGCAATTTAAAGGTATGTGAACTTCAACACCTAGGGCTGAAGTTCACACATCTTAAAAAGTTGCCATAGTTGAGAAACGCTATCCAACAAGGTGGCATTGGTGAGCTACTTTCATTTTGCAAGAATACAATAAAAATTTGCCATAGCATCACCACAAATCAAACTCAACTCAAAGGAAGCAGTATTTTCCCTTGTTTGGGAAAGATTCCTATCAATAATCCCCAATGGTAGCTGGCAACCTGGTAGTACAAAAAATGATAAGCCAGACTGACCAATCATAAAAGAGATGTAGACCTGCTATATCTAGGATAACTTTCCCAACTCAACTATATGAAGATGTCAAGAACCGAACCTGTGAATACAGGTAGTCCTCAACTTTCAACCATTTGTTTAGTGTCTGTTCAAAGTTACGGTACTGAAAAGAAGTGACTTAAGGGTATTTTTCATACTTACTGCTGCTTAGCAACAGAAATTTTGGGCTTAATTGTGGTTGTAAGTTGAGGATTCTCTGTATGCACTTATTAAAACAGTTTGTCTGTTTTAGACATTTCACTATTAAAAGTTGTAGAAAAGGAATCAAAAGATGTGGTAAAATCTCCACTATTCCAACTTACCACTGATGACTCTCAGCACTTGATGGATCCAAGTGAATTGCATGCTCTCCAACAAGTTTTCCTGAAAAAGGTGCATTTTACAGATTTTAGCAATATGCATAAAGTATATTATATCAGGCTCTATTCACTCAACAATAAATGCAACTATATATTGACGGTGACCTTAAATCGAGAATTTATCTTATTTGGCTACAGATTAATTAAGCAGAACACACATCTAGGATAAAACCAACGTGGTGTAGTGATTAAGATTAAGACTAGGCAGGGGACATCCAGGTCCAAGCCTCAGCTGTTCAAGGTTATGTAAAGCTACTATCTCTCAGCCTAGCCTTGGTCCCAAGGCTGCTTTTAGGATAAAGTTGGAAAAGGCATGTTGCCTTCAATTCTCAGAGGAAAGATGTACTATATGTCTAATAAATAAACAAACCTATTCGGCTTTGCAATTAATATTTTGAAAACTACAATGCATGTTTTGGTAGAAAATTAAAAAGAACCGGAATCAGAATAAAACCTTGAAGCCTTTCCCCTAGTATTTTCTGTGTATTCAAAACTGAATTGGCGCAGGAAAGCTCCTTCTCTTAAATTCCACTAATGTACTTGCTCAGCTAAATATTCTCACCATCTTTCTTGGTGTGAGGCTGCCCTGGTACAAGCAAAGAAAAGTAATGAGGGAATCAGATTAGTTCCCAGCAGGATTGTTACTTAAATTATTTCTCTGATTCGGCTGGCTAAATGACCCACGTCTTACTTTTAGCAGAAGCAATAATAAAACAGCATTCCCGATATATTTCTAGTTTGAACAAATTTGCATTAAAATCTATTTGAACAGCCAACCTTCAGCAGCATAATTCTTTTTCTCCTCAGCATCTGTAGTTAAGTCAAACATGTCTCCATAAGCTCGGACAAGTCTCCAAAGAAAGCCAGGATGGTTTCGATACTGCTTGCAAACAAAAGAGGTGCATTACATTGGCTTTATTGGCTTTATTTTGGCACATTTAAAATGCATGTTCCCCCAATCCCCACATGCCTTTCTGTAAATGATTACATTGTCTTGTATTTTAAATTCACTGGCTTCATGTATTATTGTGTTGTGCTTTATTTATTTACTACCCTTTTGAAGCTGCCTGACTCCAACCAATAAGGGGTTGCTCACAGAACGAAGAACAACTTAAAACAATGAAATACAATAAATTAGGCCAAAACAAATTTGCAATCCAGACAACCTATAAAAAAAGCAGGGGGAATCCCATCCATCCTAGGCCAAGGTCTGGGACAGGAATCTTCAAACTTGGCAACTTTAAGACTTGTGGACTTCAACTCCCAGAATTCCTCCTCCAGTCATGTTAGCTCAGGGATTCTGGGAATTGAAGTCCACAAGTCTTAAACTTGCCAAGTTTGGAGATCCCTGGTCTGGGAGAACAGCAGGTTTTCAAGGCTTCCTGGATACCATTAGAGTGGGAGCCATATGGATTTCTTGGGGGGCCTAATTTGAGAGGAAAGATGTCATTGAAGACATTGTACCCTTCTTGGGTCCCAAAAGATGACACTGTTTAATTGCAGAGACTCAGACTGCACTTATTCCACCAGATCAGTAACTCCAAATAAATGACCCTGTGCCACAAAAAAACTTTTTCCAGAGTTTTCCCTTGCAGCCAAGAACAGAATCTAGAATTCAATACCTACGTGTTTAAAAGTCTCTGCAGGATTTTTTGCTGTATGGCCTGCAAGATTTCTGTAGATAGGGACACGGAAGCAGGAAAGTATTTTTTCCTTTCTGCAAACTGAACTAATATAACTAATTTTGACCCTTCAAATGAGTTCGTCCAACCACTGAAATTCATTCATTCATTTATTCAGTTCAGGGGACCCTAACATTTGTTGAAAACATGTTATGGGGTTTTGTACAAACCAGTTGCCATGGTGGATACATTTAACAACAGCCATTGGCAAAATGCAAACCAACACCTTCCCTAATGCATTAAGGACTCCTTTATCATCTGAGCCAACTTTTGTCTTTCTTTCCTATGCAAGGGAGCTGCCTCTGAAGAAAGCATCACTTGTATTTCCTTAGAAGGACCACAGGCATCATACATGATGCAGTGCCGGCTCCCTCCCATTACCTTCATTTTAGCATAAACAAGAGAAGTTCCTAGCAACCTTGCTTTGTATCCTTGGTTTTTGTACTCAATTCCATTTGTATTCTGGAAACGAAAGGGGAAGTGCTTGTTTGCTGCTATAACCATCCATGATTGGAAACTAACCAAGGAGACAAGCAACCTAGAACTAAGGAGAAATTTTCTAATGGTGAGAACAATGGGATAGCTTGCCTTCAGAAGTTGTGAGTGCTCCACTACTGAAGGCTTTCAGAAGGAGACTGGATAACCATTTGTCTGAAATGATATAAAGTCTCTTGTTCCAGCAGGGGGTTGGATTAGAACAGTGGCCCCCAACCTTTTTTGAACCAGGGACTGGTTTCACGATTATTTATTCTTCCACAGACCGGTACCTGAGTAACGCGAGACTCCACCGCCATCGGGACGGCTCTTCATTCGAAGCTGCCCCCCCCTTCGACGAAACTAAGGCGCGAGCACCCAAACGCCGCTTTCCAACCGAAAACCCGGAAGCGCCGTCGAAACAAGATGGTGGCGCCCAAGCTTTGCGGCCCGGTAAGAAATGATCCACGGACCGGTACTGGTCCAGGGACCGGTGGTTGGGGACCCCTGGATTAGAAGACCTCTGAGATCCCTTCCAACACAATTACTCTATGTTCTATCTTCTAATTCCACAGTAAAAACCACATTGACTCTCATATAAACTACACACTTGATGTGGGAAGAAAGCCTATGCTGGTTTGTTGGCAACCAGAAAAAGGGAAACCAAGAGAGGCGGAACTTGATAATGGATGTGGTGCAGTGGTTAGAATGTAGTATTGCAGGCAGTTCGAGTCTCACCAGGCTCACGGTTGACTCAGCCTTCCGACCTTGGTAAAATGGGGGACCCAGATTGTTGGAGGCAATATGCTGACTCTCTGCTTAGAGAGGACTGTAAAGCACTGTGAAGCGGTATATAAGTCTAAGTGCTTTTGCTAAGTGCTATTTCCCATCTGCACTGAATAACCATAACCACTTATATGGGGAGCCCACTTTCAACAAATATTTGGTAATGATAATCAAAGGGGTCATTTTTAAGTAACAGGATTTCCCCCCCTAAAACCAATCTACTCCTATGTATCCTTAAATTTTAACGTGACTAAAACTTTTCAAAGGACACCATAGAAGGTATTGAACTATCGACCGTACCTCTTCTTCTCTTTCAAGCAATAGTTTAAAGCTTTCTCTTTTCTCATGTTCCGAGCCACCATGCATTCTGTCCACCTCCTGCAGAAGATTAGATAAGTCTATTTTTTCTTCTGGGGTCAAAGAAGATACAGAGGAATTGATCCATCCCTTTTCTTCCTCAGATTCTCCTTCAGTATCAGTATGAGCTGTCATGTAACTAAAATAGAGGAGGAGAAAATATAACCTCTTCTTGAAAAGCAGCATGGTTATATTGCCGCTTGTAACGATTATTATTATTTTCTAATTAACATATCTTAAGAGTGCTGCAAAGTACATGATGAACATTTTCATTAATTTTGCAATATCCACAAACAGACCAATTAATTTTTTCTTAAATCAGGCACAGTTCTTTGGTTCTTTGCACAATAGGAAGTCCTTGATTTACAATGATTCATTTAGTGACCGTTCAATGTCACTGAAAAAGTGACATTACGGGTGTTTTTCACGCTTATAATCATTGTACCACCACCCATGATCAAAATTTAGACTCTTGGCAACTGGCGTATATTTATGATGGCTGTAGTCCCCGTGTGATGTGATCATATTTTCTAATCCACTTAATTATCATGTTACTAACTTAACATCTTCAGTGATTCACTTAACAACTGTGGCAAGAAAAGCCATAAAATGAAACAAAATTCACTTAACAACTGTCTAGCAATGGAAATTGTGGGCTCAATTGTAGTTGTAAGTTGAGAACTACCTGTACTGTATTATTATTTTTATTTATAAGAAACTATTCAGTAAAATTACAGTGATGATTTTTGATGTTGAAACATAAAGACAATCTGAATTTAATGAAATTCAACATCTTTTCCAATTAATATTGTACTTGCCTTCAATTTTGGTTGAAATGTTTATCTTTTTAAAAGGAAGAAAGTAATTTCCTTAAAATTACCAACTGAAAAATTCTTCAGACAATTGAATTGTAGAAAAGATACACAATGGAATTACAGGTTTTTAAAGGCGATCATTTGGAACTAACAACATTTCTGCACTGAATCAAAAAGGTTCTGACATTTAAGAGGTATTAAGATTTATTATGGCAGTCAGTGTGATTTACTGAATCACAAGACCTTGAGACAAGATAAATTATCTCTTAGTTTCCAATGAAAACATTTCAATCCTTTAAAAAGCAACAACAATCAAGGTCTTGTTCTTAGCCTTGAAAAAAACTGTACTGGATATTGCAAGTTGTTGTTGCAGTTCTTAGTGTTTGTCCCACAAGATTTCATAGTCTGCTTGTTTTTGAACTGTGCTCACCTACTTCTTACAGCAAAGCTACCAATGCATGATGCAACAAGGGAGTTTGTTTTTCAGCTGGCTTACTGCAGAATCGATATTTATTACAGCTGAGAGGTAGTGACTGACCCAAGTCCACTTCTGTGTATGGAGAAGGACTGGTATTCTCTGCTTCTAGTCAAGCACATTAACCACTACACTACATTGGGTCTCTTAATGCAATATTTGTTGTGCCAGTAAAAGTCAAGCCATCGAATTAATCATTACAAGTTTTCAAATACTGTACTGACTTATTACAAGTGTGCGAAAGCTTTTTAAAAATTTGCTAAAGGTTGCTTTTGTCTATGAAAATTAGTACAGTCAGTATCGGGGGAAGGGAAGGATCATATTTCAACTTCTCTCTCTAGAGCTTATACATTATAAATAAAGGAGATGAAGCAGTAGTTGCATTGGTAAAGACAGCCCTTACGGGTAAACCAAGCATTTCTACTTCTTGTAGCTGGTTCAGCTTTCCTCTTTAGAGAGTGCCAGAATCCAAGCACTTTGGCCTTCCACATCAAGGAATATAAATCGGTTTATCAATTTTGAACATGTTTGATGAACATGTAAAAAAGCTAGAACAGATACATACACTTATCAGAGGATTTTAAAGATTAATATGCAACTGAAACCAGAATTTTTTCTTTGGGGATCGAAGGACAAACGTTGGGGAAAAAAAGGTTATGGAGATTTGGTTTTTTTTTTTACATAACTGCAGTGAGATTATTGTATACATCAGGGGTGTCCAACCTTGGCAACTTTAAGACTTGTGGACTTTGCTGGCTGAGGAATTCTGGGAGTTGAAGTCCACAAGTCTTAAAGTTGCCAAGGTTGGACACCCCTGGTATACATGATGATAATGGAGGTATGGTTGGTGAAGATGATGGCACTTGCTGAGATAGTTAAATTGAATTCTTTAATTAGAGAAAAGACAATACTTTACTGCTGAATGCAAACCCTTTGTAGGCCTTTTGCATGAAACAGGAAAAAATGAACTTATGACTTATGATTTTGATGATTAGACAGGTAGATTATAGAAAGAAGAGAGTTATGTTGTAAACATAGAGTATAATGTAAAATTGTATTTGTACTTCTAAGTGCTGCAAACAAAACTGGAAGTTATTTCTTTATAACTTTTTCCTTTCTTGTCTATTTTTCTTTTACTTTCTTTTATTTTCTTCCTTTCTTGCACCTTTAACTTTCTGTTAGTTTTCTTTCTTCTTCTTAGATTAATTTATATTAGTTTTTAATCTTCCTTTTAAAAAACTTAATAAAAATTACATATAAAACGTACCTTGCTTTTATGGGCTTTTTATCTTTTAAAAACTAAGCATTTAATCAACACAATTCCAAATGTTTTTAAAATACCCACCCGCCTTCACTTTCCGTCTCTTCAGAACTGGTGGCATCAGATACGCCTTGAGCTGCTGCCTCAGTCTTTCTCTTCTTTGCGGACCTATGGGAAGGGCTGGTTCTGCGACTTTCTGTTTTTCCTTGAAGTTCATCTCGAACAAGTTCATCCAACTTTGGAATAGCTTCTTTCAGAAACGTCAATTCTCTTTTAAGTTCTTCCACACTTACCACCAAGCCATTCAATTTCTCCAGTATCTGAAGCTGTCTTCCTTGTAACAGCAAAACTGTCTTTTCCTCTTGGTGAGTTTCATATGGAAAATCTATTAAATCAAAACCGCTGGCTGAATTTGGAAATACAGGCAAATGCATACCTTTGCTGCGTTTCTGCGTCTTGAGATACCAACACAGGACAAAGGTTACTCCTGCAGCTCCTGCCATTAAGCCAAATAGTAGCCTTTTGTTTTCAAAGTGGGACATGCCTGCTGTTTCTGAAACAGTGTAAAAAAGCAGAAGAGAAACCATGGTTTAACGCTTTCTGTGAAATACCTTGCTTTTTGCAAAAAATAGGCAAGAGCAGGGGTGTCAAACTCAAGGCCTGGGGGCCGGATCCAGCCCATGGGGTGATTAGACCTGGCCTGGAAACAGCGTCCTGGAAACAGCGAAGGACTGGCCCATGGTGTCTCTGCGCACGCGCTCCTCCCAAGCTCTGTTTTTGCTGTCAGAGGGTTGAAGGAGGCCGTCGCAGCCAAAAATGGAGCTCGTGAGGGCCATGCATAGCCCTCCCAAGTTCCGTTTTCACTGGCAGGAGGCCGTCGCAGACGAAAACAGAGCTCAGGAGCCAGTTTTCACTGGCAGAATACTCAGGCCACCACAGGAGCCCCCTGACGTGAGTGACGTCAAGTTGCAATGCCCACTCTGGCCCCCTGAAGTCAAACACAACCCTGATGTGGCCCTCAATGAAATCGAGTTTGACATTCCTGGGCTAAAGCCTCAGGTCATTTTTTAATGTATAGGTTTTGTTAATTAAAAGGCATTTGGGCTGTTGTTTTAAAGATATACATCAAAGATTTATGCATCAAAATTTGAAGGCATTAATGATGCCTCCATAAGGGTCTGGTTTTCAATCTAACCACATTTTTAAATACAGGTAGTCCTAAACTTACAACAGTTCATTTAGTGACCATTCAAAGTTACAACGCCACTGGAAAAAGTGATTTATGACCATTTCTTCACCCTTACAACCGTTGCACCTTCCCCACGATCACGTGATCCAAATTTAGAAGCTTGGCAACTGACTTGTACTTATGACGGGATCATGTGATTTTATCTTTTGCGATCTTCTGACAAGCAAAATCAATGGGGAAGCCAGATTCACTTAGCAACTGTGTCACTAATTTAACAATGGAAGTGATTCACTTAACAAATGTGGCAATAAAATGGGGGCAAAGTTCATTTAACAAATATCTCACTTAACAGAAATTTTGGACCCAATTGTGGTTATAACTCAAGGACTACCTTATCTAGCTGATTTGAAATGAGGTTCTAAAATCTAATCTATCTGAACCCTAATTTTATTCTATTCTACATAGCAAAGTATTGTATATTTTTCTTTGAAGAGTAAGCCATAATTTTTTCAACTTCAAAAAATTATAGCACTATATTCAAATTTTCTTTTGCCCAATTCTCCCCCACCCCCCAAATTACATTTATTATAGTGACATCATCTTTCCTATCCATATGCCAATGGAGCAATTATTAAGTTCCATGTTAAGGATCAATGGTTTTCATATGATGGTAAAGACTGTAAATTTTCAAGATAATCTGAAGCCACAACTGAACAGAATGATAAATACATTTAATTTTGTGCTGAATGATATACAGTTTTAGTAGTCTTCTATGTCTCTGTTAGGAGGTTTTGGTCAGTAGTTGAATATAAAGCTATTCAACAGAAGAACAGGCAGAAATTAAGGTAGTTTTATTAATCTATCCAACGCAATATTGAAAACTAAAAGTCAGTTTCAATTTCATATATGTGATAAACTGACTAACTGTAATCTAGAAAGTTCAAGAAAATTCTATTTATAGTTTATAGCCTAGGGGTCTTTCTCTACCACTGAAGTAACATGCTGTCTGTCCACTCAGTTTTGATGTGTCACAAAATAATCCCAACACAAAAATTGTCCTCTCCAGTGATCATCAGGCTCTTTGCTCTTTATTTGGAGTCATAACCAGGTAAGTACAGTATGCCACTCATAATAAGCAAAATATTGGTGTTTGCCTCTGCTTTGGCTCCACTTTCTCTTTCGAGAGGTGACCCGCCAACAAGTAAAAACATCCCCCAGAGGCATTGCAGCAGGAATGGCAAGGGCCTCCCTTCTGGATACTGCCCAGACAATTGTAGACTAGTTTGTCTACTGTCTCTCCCACAGCCCAATTTCTCAAGTTTAAATATGTGACATACAGAAATGGGACACAAGGCAGAAATAGCCCAAATTAGGTGTGAGTCAGATTCTTCTCAACTAAAAAGTGAGTAGCTATTGGATAACCAAGTGTCTTGTCTGAAAGGTGCTTTTTTCTTTTTCTTCAATAGACAATGGGATGGGTTTTTTCCTTGAGGAAAAAAACAGTCCAGTTGACTTTTGAAGAAGAAAAAAAAGCACCTTTGACTTAGATGATTGAGAATCTCCTCAGACAACCAAGTGTTTTATTGGTGGAAGTAGACGATGTAGAAATAACAAACGCTGGGAAATAAATAGTTGCAATGTAACATGTGCTAGCACGCTGTATCCAAAGTGTTTATAACAGAACTGATCACATCTACAATAGATCAATTTGGCTTTGGCCCTTTGCTAAATATCAAGCTGGTATCACCAATTCAGATTTTATATACCTTGGAGCAGTAGTAGGACAGGTTTGACTTAATACAAATCTTCACGTCAACAGACCGATTTAAAGGAGAGGATATCTACAAATGTCCATTAAATCAAAGACAAATGTTGTTAGTCAGTGTGTAAAAACAGATTTGTTCTTACAAAGCCAATCACATTGAACTTTGATACATCAAGGCTTCACTGAAATTGAAAATCAATGCAAAGGTGATAGGACAAGACTGTTTAAATTATTGGTCTGGAATGAGAAGAGGGAAGTGTGACAGAGTAAAGGATGAAAGCTGATATATTCATACTCTGACTGCATTGTATTAACATGCATATAGAGTAGGGCCTACATTGAAGTAATAACAACATCCTATTTTCCTAAATGGGATTGGCAGCCACCATGCAAATGATTTTGTAATCCTAGAAACTCTTCTGGCCTGTGAGTAAACAATTCATACTGTCGAAACTATCTAGCTCGTTTTCCCTACACTGCTAAAGACTTGGTTGGCCTGCTTCAGGATAAATCATTCATTAGATTTTTAAAATGTCACTTAAAAGCAGATACTAACTAGTTAAATCTCACACTCTATAGGATAGCAAGTAATCCGAAAATCAGTTTCAGATAAGAGCATCCAAGGTCATAATTTCTGTTGGATCAAATAATCTAATGACACCCAAAAGGCTAACCTCAGAACTAAACTAAATTCAGGAGAAGTTATTTCTAAGAAGTCCTGCCTATGATTGTTTTGTAGGACATTTATTACAACAGAGCAAAAGTTTTGGAGAGCTCGTCTACCTCTGACCTTTGACTTAACAATAATATTCATTTCTAGGGTGCCTAAAACTCTATAATTGTGTTCTCTCCCCAGAAAGTGTGTCTAACTGTGCTGTCCCCCATGCTTTAGGTGAGTTGGCAAGCTGCAGTTGTTGGCTTTCTTGTAACCGAAACAACCACGCATGACCCGAACATCTATGCATGCTCATTGTGGACATACAATCACAAGAAGCGGTAAGGTATCCAACCCAGGCAGCCTGAACTGAGCAGAGAGCGCCTAGGCTCAAATTACGCGAGGCTCTGGCGCTGTCGAGGAGGAAACAACGCGTCCCTGCACCCGCTTCCGAGCGCCTCTTCTCCTTCAGCCAGTCCCGTTTTCTCCTGCGAAGGGCGCAGACACACTCAGTTTCCACTCACCAGGCGCTCCGATCCGGCTTGCCGTTGCTACTTGCGCTCCCGCCGCCGCCGCCTCCTCCTTCCCCGCTTCCGCACCTGAGCCTGCGGAGAGACGGCGGCGGAGAAACGCTCAAGGGCCGCCCACACAGTTTGAGACCCGGATACGAATGGGCGGGCGGCGGACAGCGCTCCCGGGAAAGCGCCGCTTCTTAGTTGTTCGCCAGATGGTCGGACGGCTGCTCCCACCATCCCCTGCCAGCGCCGCTTGTGGGGCGGTGGAAGTTGACCTCGAGGACGGCTTTTCATGGAGCTGGGAGGACTTCCGGGGTCCTCTCTCTGGGATGGAGACCGTGTTAATCTCCGGGAGTGCTGCCAACGCCAACGCTGCCGTGGATACGGCAGGCTGAGCCAATTTGGCAGGTTTTCTCCTCCGCTATTTGGCAGGTCTCGGATGCCAGATATCGGCGGAAACTATTAATATGCCCACTTATCCGTACCGAGTATGAGATTTAACTAACATCAGCATTGAATGTAGTAGGAATAAATAACTGGGTTGTTTTGTTTGGGGGGAAATCTGAAGTGCATTTCACAAGTGAATGCATGGGAGTGAATGCGTTTTGTCTTCAAACACCAGAAAGTAATTTTGTTTATGCCAGCGATACAAATGCTAGTTGAAAATTATCTTTGGAAAAAGACCTTTCATGACTATTTACTTGAAATAAATATGTATTATGCACACAAATGAGCCAGAATACTTTTTAATATGTAAACTGGTACGGAAAGAAACCCAAATCTTTAACCTTGTGTTAAATTGTGTTATGCAATTGCACAGTTGCCAAAGACTATCAATCAATTTGCAGTAAATCCTCTAAATTACATTCTAAATAGCAATTTAAATTCTAAAATAATTTTGATATTTTATTTGTTATCGTAACATATTGTGTTGAGTGATAGACAAACATTATAGAAACTTGTTTGTTTGGTGAAACCAGACCCAGATTCCTAGTTGTGGAATAATAAAACTCATTAAGGGACTATAGATTGCTCTAGATTAGTTTGTCAGTTATGAGGGGGAAATGGTAGCAAAAGGAACCATATAAAATGCCTTGAATTTTTGGAGGACAAAAAATATAGTCAAGGAATATATCCATGACTAGTCATTTGAGTCCAGTCACCTGTGCAGGGCAGGCATCCGAATGATGGCTTTCCAGCTTCTGGAGAACTCATCCAGTATAGGAGAACACATAATTAATTCAACTTGCTTTGTAGAGAAATTTATTTGCTTATTTATTTATTTATTTAGTCGCTAATGGTGGAGCCTGCAGGAAAGGTTCACTTTGACCCTTCTAGACTTTTGCATCTGGTGGAAGGAATTTCTCCTTCGTCACAGCCTTAACACTGCCTCCTGGCATTTCTTCTCAGCTTCACCTCAGGCCAAGAAACAACTTTTTCTTTTCACTTGCATTCAATAAAAACATACAAAAAGAAAAAAAAAGGAAGGAAGCTACATGGCAGAAGTGGCATTCTTTTCCTACGATTCTGATTCTAGAGTCATGCAAAGTAACAAATAGTTCTGCAAAGAGTCCTTGCGTGTGGGATAAGAAGAGGCCAGTGGGAGCCATGATCAGGTGATGCCACACGGGAAACACAACCATGTGATACTTTTCTTTATTACCTACCAGAGATAAATGCACTTGGCATGCCGTGACTTACTCCAAAAGGCTCTCTATCCCAACTCCCTGCCCCTGGAAGGAAGCCAAAGAGCAGCCAAAACCTCCCTCACCTTCATACTGACATATCAAGTAACCTCATCTCCCTCCTTTGTACCAGTATAGCAATGAGAAGCCTTTAGGATGGACAGTTATTAGAAGTAAGAGGACCAGCTCTGGTTGGAATGAGAAAATGCCTAGCTAAATTGTTTTGACATAGCAAAATGTTACACAACCCCCAGGTTCCAAGGCCTTTCTTCAAAGATGGGGGCACATTGGAACTGTAGAGGGAGTTGTTCCTTAAACAAGATTCTGGAGAAGATTGAAGGCACCAGGCCACAAAACGTTTTGGAATTTCCCATTTCTTTCCTGCTCCATCTTCTTTGGAATATTCCAGTTGACGTTCTTGGCAGAAAGAAAGAAATTTTGAGAAGGAACATAACAAAAGCAGTGGGGAGGAAATCTTATCAGAGGAGTTATCTCAACTATGTTCTTGAAGTCCATGGTGCTACCCATGCCTTGCTGAAGTAAACAAAAACAGGAGATACAATATCTCAAAGAAGAATGGGACCAGGAGAGTCATTCTGAATCTCAAGCCCCTGAACAAATTCATCAGACTACAATCTTTTATGGAAACTCCACGATCACAACATAGGCTATCATACCAAACAACTTAACAGCCTCAGTTGACCCATCAATGTTACACTTGCATATCCCCATCATAGCCTCATTAGACAGGCATACCATCTATTCTGCAGTTTTGTATATGAAGAAATACTTTTATTTTAGAGGTTTGGTACTCAAATTATGAAAGACACCTGAGGATTCAGGTATTCCATATTTATGCCAATTTTGATCATTTCATCATCATAGCTTCCCAAACAGAGAAAGCAACCAAGCCATCGCCAAGTTGCCTTTGTCAAATCACAGCCTCCAAATTGCCACAGGACAACTCCACACAGCCAACTCACTGCAGGAACAACTCGCCACAGGTAAGCTGAAGAGAGCCAGGCGGGTGGGTGGGCAAACAGGCAGAGTGCAGTGTGTTGGAATGGGTGGCAGGGAGGCAACAGCAGCTGGGACTTCTCATTTTCACACACCCTACCACTGCTGCCATGCTGGGCTCCAAGCTTGACACAATGCATCAGTAAGAGCAGCTCTGAGCATGGCACAGATACCGATCCATGCTGGGCTCGGCACGGCCACCAATACCACCGAGCCAGGCTCAGAGCCAAGAGCAGCACCAGCGGTGGGACCTGTGAAAATGGGAAGCCCCTGGCCCCCACTGCCTTCCTGCCACCTGTCCTGACATACTCTGTGCTCTGCCCACCCGCTAGCTTGCCCAGCTCTTTCTCCAGTCACTGTTAGGAATAACATGGTTACCTAACTTAGTTTGGGTAAAATAATATATATAAACTATGTTAGTGAGTTTAAGTGTGTGTATCACTTTAACTGTAAAACATGTATTTTGGGTGCAGTTGTAAAATCACCATAAGAGGGAGCAAGAGAGCTCACTGTTTGCTGGCTTTTACTGGATTGCTGACAATGATGGATTGATGGTGATAACTGCGTGTTTTTTCCCTGCTATTGCTGAACGAAGAAAAGAGGTTTGATTTTCTTCATATCTCTACTGCAAAAAGAGATATATTACTGGACTGATTATTTGTAAGTTTAATGACCTCTTTTTCGACACTGGACTTTGCTAATGGATAATCCCCGGACGGACTGAACTAAGTGTATGATATATGGACTGTTTGACTATGCTAACAATCTTACTGGAATAAACTATTTAACTAGCACATTGTATCTGTTTTACTGAGTGTAAACTACAACAACGTTTATCTCACATATCTGCCTGCCTGACTGACTACCGTTGCACGTTCTGCTAGGGTGTATATCCCTAACAGTCACCCATGGTGAATTATCCCTACAACAAATTGGCCATGTGGTCCTGAGGCAAGTTGGCACTTGTGAATTGAAAGAAGCGACATCCCTACATTAAGCATTTCTCAGTGAAACCAGTATTTTCCCCCTCATAAACACATACTAGAGCCTCTGTGGCGCAGTGGTTAGAGTGCAGTACTGCAAGCTACTTCTGCAGCCAGCTGCCTACAGTTTGGCAGGTCAAATCCCACCAGACTCAAGGTTGACTCAGCCTTCCATCCTTCTGAGGTGGGTAAAATGAGGACCCAGATTGTTGACTCTGGCAATATGCTGACTGTGAACCACTTAGAGAGGGCTGTAAAGCACTATAAATAGCTATTGCTATTGCTATACTAGCCTACATAAATTCCATTCAGTTTTTCAGGGCTTTAAATACTGTTACGTTTGAAACCATTAAGCAGATTGTGATCGCTACACTTGGAACGCATCTTGCCTAATATTGATGCCTTCAGCTCATTGAGAAAGGGAACTGGGAGCTGTCTTGATGAGAGATCAGTGGTATATGCCACCAAGATATGGGATTTTGAGACCAGCCAACTTATTTCATACCAAAAATCATTCAAGGATTTATAAATGACAGGAGATAATCTTATCAGATTTTTGTTTTTTCATGGAATACAATTGGAAGAAATGATTTGCATACAGATCCGTAAGAGTTTATCTCGTGCACATTCTAGGAGACCAGAGGGCTAAGCACATATTTGTGTCCAGAAGACAGGGAGTGCTGAGAGCTGAATTATCTACCCTCCATAAACAAATGGGACAGGAAATACATAGCACAGCAATAATTTATTCTGGCTATAATTTATGTGTTCCGGGTGGCATCACAGCTCATTCCTTCACATCCTCTTTATGTCATTGATAGACATCTGTAGACTTGTGACTTGGGTGGAGAGGACAACAATTTTTAAATACTACCAGGAAATAAATTACAAATAAATTCACTCCAGTAGAAGCAGCCAACCACTTAGTGCTGCAGATGGCACTGTAACTTTTATTGCAGCCCTAGAATGGGAATATGGTGTATCACTGTCCCATTAGCTCCATCATCAGTAATCAAGAACAGCCTGAGGAATCCAAACCAGAGAGAAAGGACTATAATAAAAAGCACATGCAATCCAATTGTTTAATATTGTTATTTCATTGATCAACTAGTTATGGATGTATTTTTAGATGTTGGAAGTATATTTTTTCCATATGTAAAGATGTTATAGGTTTTGCCTTCAGCTGAGGTTAATGTACACACAACTGAGGAAGGAGGAATTACCTCTACCAGATGTTAAAGTTCAAGCTCTGCCTTTGACTAGAAAAGGTGGAGTTAACCTTTTCCTGTTCTTCCAGATTGGCTTCTTGTGTTAAGTGTAATGGTCTGTTCCCATATACTCCTGTAATTAAATCAAATTCTTCCTGACCCTGATTTTCTTCTATGTGTCATCACTTCAGATACTTGAACAATGCTATCATAGCTCCACTCAATCTTCTGTTCTCAAAGTTGAAACATGTGCATTTCCCTCAATTTCTCTCTGGGTTTGTTCTAATCTTCTTCTGGCAATCTTTGAATTTGTAAGTCACAATTTTTGTAGAGAAGTGCGGGGAAAGTATTGAGGTTTGCAAGATTCTGTTACTGTAACCTTACAATAAAAGTACAGGTAATCCTCAACTTATGACCACAGTTGAACTCAAAATTTATATGCTAAATATATTGTTAAGTGAGTTTTGCCCCATTTTACGACCTCTCTTGCCATGGTTAGTTAGTAAGAAGACTGTTAAGTGAATCTGGCTTCCCCATAGAGTTTGCTTTTCAGAAGGTTGCAAAAAGTGATCACATGACTTTTGGACACGGCAACGGTCATAAATATGAACCAGTTGCCAAGCATCTGAATTTTGATCAAGTGACAATGGGGATGCTGCAAAGGTAACTGTGAAAAACTGTCATAAGTCACTTTTTAAAATGCTGTTGTCACTAAACAAACTGTGGTAAATTGAGGACTACCTGTAGTAATCTTAGCGTGCATTAACTTTAGCTTCTTAGTTTGGTCTACCTTGAGGGGCTGATATCGGTCTTGTAACTTTGAATA